AGGCACTCTAGTTCACCCATCTTATTATTTAGACTTCTAGCATTTGTGTATAAGCACTTTAAAAACTTGTCACTGTTTATTTGTCTGCCTTTTCTGACGTGTCAGATTCTTTATGTGAATGTTTCTCATCTGATCTGGCCCTTACATTATCCTCTTCCATCCTCTGTTCCTGACTATAATCTAGAGAATCTCTATCAATAGACTCTCCTCTAAGAGAAGTCTCTGTCCGATCCACATGCTCCTCTGTAGCAGTCGGCTTTCCCCCATCTCCTAGTTTAAAAACTGCTCTACAACCTTTTTAATGTTTAGTGCCAGCAGTCTGGATCCACTTTGGTTTAGGTGGAGCCTAATAAATTGATTTGGGTCATAGCTATTACCTGTATACCTTTTCAGTTAATTTGTCTTGACCAAAGCTTGGGCTCTGGGTCTGTTGTTTAGTACTCTTCCCCCCATATCACTATGATGTTGAACTGTTTGTCTTTTGGGAATGACAATTCATCAGGGTATCATTTGCTGAGCATGTCTGTTCTGAAAATTCCTGTGTATCTAACAGTGAAGGACTCTTGACTTAATTTATTCCTGATTTGTCTCAGTATTAATTCACAAGCTGCTACTCTCCTATACACCTTTGGCTCATCTCTCTGCCCCCTTTCAAACTCTGCTATATTTTTTGGATGGTCTGGCAAATAAAACGGGATATGGCACTCCAAATAGGAACAGAATGCATGCACCCAATTACCCTTTTCTCTTTTTCATTATATATTTTATATTCATGAAACATTTACAAGCTTCAGCAAGAAAGCAAAAGGAATTACAAAGTATAAAGCCCATATTTTCCAAGGGTGCACTCTCCTTTATGCGAACAACACCTCTTGAGGATTTATATGCACATACCTACAAGCATTTGCCTGAGTTGTCTGCATGCCAACTGGGCATGCAAAAAAGTGTACTTGTCTATGGTGACCATTTAAAATGTTTATACAAAATAATGATGAAAATAAGGCCAGTTGTATTTAAAGCAAATGTAATTAGCTGGAGCAATTATTTTTCTCTTCCTTTCCTCCTGACCCTCAAAAAACCTATATTAATTAAGATTTCTAGTTTATGTTCATCTATAAGATAAAAACACAACTGCAAAATGTCGATAATTTACTGCAGATAAGGTGCAGTAGGCATGTACTACTCAGACTGTTGACCCTGCTTCACTTCCCAGGCACCCTAACAAAACCCCATCAAGCCGTTTTTCATTAGACTATGCCTGATTAAACGACTTTCACATACACACACCCTTGATTTTGTTCATTTTCCTCTTACATTGTTGCACAGAATAAATGTATCTACTATAAATTTTACTTTACACTCTCAAAAGACTTCACAAACCTCAATACCACATAATCTGTAACATACTGTGTGTATTTAACAAAGACTGTAAAAATAATGGGCCAAATTCATCGCTGGTGCTAGTGGCTACACCTTCATTGACATCAGTGGTATTGCACCTGCTTACACCATGGAAAAATTTGACACAAGAGCTTTTTAGTCCCAGATCTCAAGTCCTTATTTTGATGGCTTTATTTATTTAGTATTTCAATAGACAGACAGACCCTTTCAGATATGACCAGCACGTACCTTACGAGGGCCTGTGCTCTTCAGCTCAAATACATCCATTGTGTAGTTGACTCTGCGACCATAGTGATCAAACTGAACATTTCCGGTCAGCCCTTGTATTCGAACCTAAAAATTAAAAAAGAAATTCCAGCCTCATGTGCTTTTTGCACCCAATTGCTGCACAGTAGCTGGGCATTATTAAATGACTCATGGAACACATTCGTCTTGTGCTTTTGGACCATGTATTTTCACTGCAGTATACTGTAAATATATTACTTTGGTCCAAAACAAACTAACTAACTAAAAAGGATATTTTACTTGGCCTTTTGAGTCTTTTCCAGCTCAAATCTTGATACTAAGGCATGCGTGTACTGAAGTACAATACTCACAAGGGTGAAATTCACCCTGCCGCAGAGGGCCTAAGTCGGGGTAGGCAACCTATGACACGCGTGCCGAAGGTGGCACGTGAGCTGATTTTCAGTGGCAGTCACACTGCCCGGGTCCTGGTCACCGGTCCAGTGGGCTCTGCATTTTAATTTAATTTTAAATGAAGCTTCTTAAACATTTTAAAAACCTTATTTACTTTACATACAACAATCATTTAGTTATATATTATAGACTTATAGAAAGAGACCTTCTAAAAACGTTAAAATATATTACTGGCATGCAAAACCTTAAATTAGAGTGAATAAATGAAGACTCGGCACGTCACTTCTGAAAGGTTGCTGAACCCTGGCCTAAGTAAAGCCCTCTGTACTACAGAAGCCTGGTATGTCTGTGTGAGGGGAGGGTGGCCTGGAGTGGAGATGTCTCAACACCTTTAGTCCAGAGGGTGACGGGGAGAGGCTGTGGGATCCATAATTCCTTTTTTCCCCGTGGCCCTAAACACCACGTGCAAGTGAGATTCTGGAACTGTGAGTGCAATTTCAGCCCACAGACTGATGCAGCAGATGCAGTGGGGGCATGGCTTGAACTGCAGCCTAGGCTCGGCCCCTGGGTTGTGGGCACTATGGCACTGCACTGATAGGCACACAGCTTCTGGTCCTTATCCTGATGATGTCAGTGGATGTGTTCCATTGGCTTCCACGGTAACAGAATCAAGCCCATATAGACCCATTACTCAGACTTTATGATCCTGATGTCAGCTTCACCATAGAAACTTGACTTCATGCCTTCAGAGAATATTATAGATCTGGACACTTTCTTGACAGAATATTTGAAGTACATTAAATGTTTAATATCTTTTCATAAGAGTCAGGACGTGCATTTTAAATCAGATCCTTCTCTCTTTGTCCATTTCAGCCTTATCCAACTCTTCTTCAAGACTGAAACCCTTGCTGGTAGGCAGAAAGCTGCCAGTTCTGTCAGAAGTCACTTCTTCTCAGTGTCTGCTCCTGAGTTGAGTCTGCTCATTTGCAATTGGAATGATTTAAATTCTACTGTAGGATTTTTTTTTTAAATCTCCACTCTTAGAGAGAAAGGCTAAATCATCTTGACAGGGATCTGGAACTTCCTAGGCATTCATATTCATCAGAAATTCAAACTTCTGACATCAATAACAATGGCTCTGGGATATCTTCTTTTTAAAGAAACAAAAACTTTAAATAATTTTACCTATGTGATTTGCACTGGGAGTACTTTACAAGCATTTGGGATGATGCAAACCACATCCCAGTTTGGTTAATAAAACAACTCTCTGACATTAATTTAATTACACGTTCTTCTATTTGTATTACCTGGACTTTACTTTTTCTTTAAATGAATATCACTTTTCCTGCCTAGACTACAGTGCACAAAGCAGTTGGCAAACTAAGCACTTCAGTAGAGAATATTCCATTTCTTACAGTATAACAGAGGAGTTTTCAATATACCAGGTAAAGTGTTTGCTCTGTGGTCAGGCCACAGATCTTGTACTTCATTGATAATATAATTTGTCTAACAAATGGAGGGATCAAAGATGTATCTGAATAACTGAGAAGCTCTCTACCCTCTCTCTCAACCAATAAACTAAAACAGCAGTAGTGAAGCCAATCAAACTATTACTGGGTACTTTCAAATGGTGATTGAAAATAGACGTCCCCACATGCCCATCACACCTTGTTGAGTGTTATACCTTCCACATCACAGAACTAGCAAATTGATCTACTATTCACCAAGGTCACTAGAATTAAGCATAATTTTACCTGTTTGAGTGTTCTCTCCATATCAATCCCCTGGCCCCATGGTGCAGCAGGATTAGCAAGACAATCCCCAGCATTCCCTCTCCGTGAAATATCAATTTTCTGCCTTCTAAGGTTACGGAATGTTTCAGCCATCACAAGTACCCCATCGTAGGTCAGAGCAGATGTGTACTAAACAGGGAGTCAAATGCATCATTTCAGTGTGGCAAGACTATAGAAAATCAGCTTAGACTTAGATATATTTCTGTTTTAGCCTGTTATGCACCCTGAGAGAAAACTCCCATCAAAGTCAATAGAAGTTTCATCTAAGCAAGGAATGCATGCTCTCAGAGTTGAGATCATACTACAATAGTTCAGCTTTAAAACTGTATTTCAAAAGATCAGCAAAAGATCTCTCTGAGGAACCATAGCAGGAGACAAATTAAAACAATGATCTCCGTTTCTCAAACTTTTTGTCATTTATTTTGTCCCTTTGAGACTAACACCTGCCGAGCCATCTTTACTGAAGGTGAGAGAAGAACTGGTAGTTCATTGAGCAGGCGTAGGATCATGAATAAATGCACTGGAAAGAGTGGGAGAACCCCGTTACTTAAACTGCAGCGTAATCAGGATTAGTATTTTTCATTCCATTTGCAAAATTTCTGCTTAGTTGCTCTCATGAAATAGGCTATAGTGAAATAAAGGAGACTAGAGAAATCAGAGTGGAAAGTATCAGTTCTAGGCAAAAAACATGGAAGATCGAGTATGCAGCAGCTGTTAGTTTGAAGACACAGGTGAAAAGTACACAGATGCTCAAAGGCAGGGTAGTCTAGTGGATAAGGCACTGGGCTGAGAGTCAGGAGACTGATCTGCTCTGTGACTTTGGGTAACTCAATTCACTTCTTTGTTTCCTCTCCCACATTTTATCTTGTCTGTTTAGGTCGTAACCTCTTTGGTACAGGGGTTATCTCTTATTATGTGTTTGTACAGTGCCTAGCACAATGGAGTCCCAATCCCTATCAGGTCTCTAGACACCACCATAATACTACAGATAACACCATTATTACTACTAATAATAAATTAATTCTAAGGCACTCATCTTTACAGCCAAGTTGCAGCTTGCCTGTCAAGAAAATGTTAGGTCTGTAGAAGAGGCCAGATTTTGATACGTGTATTGGACTGGACAGATAAGAACCAGAAAGGCATGCCGTTGCACTGTAAGATCCTAACTACTTGTAAGCATTACACCAGGATTATCGTAGGGTGTAATTTCCAGATAGTCAACAATACAGGGATGATATATTAATTATTATTATATCTCAGATTCAGAAGACAGCTTGCTGCCTGGAAATTTATGAGTTCAATGTGCATATAATATGATAAGGCTAACATTCAAGATTGGTTGGAGATAGGATGTCAGTTTTAAATAAACTTTTGATTTCTATTTCTTGTCATTAAGGGGGTTAATTGGAGAATAAGTGACAGAAGACGGAAAAGTTGTAGGAGTTCATATTTCTATCAGATAATTGCAATGCTGAGTTTAATTAGTTATCAGTATTTGTGAGGTCACATATCTTGTGCTGTAGCTCAATATTATGAAACAAAGCATTTATTCATGAACTCAGTTATGTGAATTATAAGTTAAAATGTTTGAATGAAATCCTTGGTAGCATATAAAATTAACAAGTACCTTTGGAGGGCTGTCAGATCCTGGGTATTCTCTCTGATCCAGCTTCTTCCAGCGCTGCATGAGTTTAGTTACCATAGGAGTACTGAAATCTACTAACTGAAATCCTGTTACATTGGCTCCTCCATGCATAAACCTCTCCAAAGAAATATCTTTGAATCCCTAGAAAATCAATTTAACATTTTGTTTGCCCTAGCACATTGTTCTGCGCCAGACGTGTTTTAGGTTAGCAAGTGAGCATAAATGAACAGACAGAGAGAAAATAGGTAAATAGATTTCTAAGACAAGTAAAGGCTTAAAACCTTGGAAGAAACTTCAGTCTTAGCACATAATGTTACTTTGAATGATAAAAAAAAGCTTAATTTAAATTACCAGATCACTGTTCAAATGCAATAGATATGTATCAACAGTTGGAAAAGGCATTACTGGGAATGATGGACAATGTTTGAGAAGACAAATTCAGATCATCATGTTTGCAAAGCAATTTCAGAATATTAAGGGGCTGATCCAGTCTCTATTAAAGTCAAAGGAAAGACTCCAAACTACATCAATGGGTATTGGATTGAGGCCTAATCCATTATGCCCATGGTTCAAGGTGATATTGCAGAGTGAAGGAGACACTATTTTGTAAGTATAAACTGTCTGAGACCAATTGTTCAAACTAAAGATAGATGAGTGATCCAACATATATAATGGTGTCATGGGATATCAGAATTTATATGTACAGTTTGTAGGTCTGCCTGCCAGTGTAAAACCAATGTAAGTGACATCAGAACTAAGCCTACTATGAAGTTTTAACTGTAGACATCAGAAAAACATTTCTTCTTTTGTATTTGAGGTTTATATTAAACCTCAATGTCAACATAGAAAGAAAAATTAAATTATAGGCACATCCATAATGATGTGTTTCTATGGTTAATTTGTTCAGTGAGTATAAATCCAACCCCTTTAATAAAAGGTGCTTTTAGGGATTAATTTCACTTTAGGAATGCAAAAATATCAAACTAGCCAACTGATCAACACAAAATACCACCCCCCACAAGTCTTCCTTTCCCAACCAAACTACCACTGAAACATCTCAAATTTTTTTAAACTTCTACTGCTTTGGCAAATTTTAATTTATTCCAAGTAGTGTTATTACATTGCACTTAAAAAGCAAGATTTAGAAAAAGTTTTCTGAGGACCTGGCCCAATGCCAACTAAAGTGAATAGATAGACCCTCTTTAAAGGCATTGGATCAAGCTCTTAAAGAGAATTTTAGTGCATGTGAAAGGTGTCAGATCATCAACTCATTTTACACAGGCTACTGAACAGCCACCCCAGATACCTGCAGCTTCCAGTCACTTTCACATGTAACCCAGAGGGGAATAAGCTTCAGTTCATATCCCATTATCAATCCACTGAACAATTCAATTCTCCTCTAACCATCTTACATAGGAAAAATAATTTGAAGAATTATATACATTTGAGGTGCCAAAAGTCTAATTGGCAAGAGCCCAGAGAGGACTGACTTATCTTGTTTTGAAAGCTGAAGGTCTGAAAAAAACTTAATTTTTTTTTAACTGAAGCTGTAAGTACAGTGCAGCACAACAGAGTATTTTGTCAGCTCCAATTCTTTAAGTGTGAGAAGAGTAAGAAAACAAGCAAACAAAAATGTATTTCAGAACCAGAATCTATATTCTCTGCATGAGGATGTTTAGTTTAAGCAAAGAGATTGCTTTAATAATTAAATATTTAATTTACTCGTTTCCTTTCCTCTTTGAACACTCTTTGCGCAAATGTATAATGTGGATTTAGAGGGAAAATACTGAATCAGTAATACTACTGGAAGTAGCTTATCTTACTACAGCAAAACATATGCTACCCTGAAGGATGTGAAGAAGTTATGTTGAACCTTGTTATTCTAGTAATACATAAAAATGAGTACAAAATGATAGTGTAGTATTATATATGGATCAAACTCTGTGCTACGTTATACCAAGGCAGCCCCTTAATCCTGTAATGATTTTAATGGAATGTATCTTAGGGCAAAATTGGGCTTTCTGTTATGCAAATGGCAGCAGTCAAAACAAAAAATGCACATTCTTCAGTACATTGCACAGAACCTATTATGGTAAATTGTATATTGGTTACAAATAGCAAACTTCGTGTGTAGTGTTATAGCTCCACAGCACAGTTGAGTGTTTTACTTGTAAACCACTGACATAATTATACAAAAGGATCTTACCAGGTTTGCAACGATGTAATGGTAGCCTTTAACATGCTTTCCAACACTCACAATCTGTGGGGGGAAAGAAAGAGCAAACTATATCTTATTGTACTGCTTTAACTGAGCATTAATCATCATATGATTATGAGAAATGTAATTTTAGCGCCATAATGTTGAGATTCTCCCATTCCCCCATGAAAGTGATTGAGGTAGCTATAATTTTCCTAATGCCTAATCATTAGAACCTGCTAAAATGCAAATAGCTAAAATAATTAATGGACAATTCTGCAATCTGAATGCATTCCATATGATTGAACATGTTGCTGCAGTATATTATTCTAGCAAGTGTAGTAATTGCCTGCAGTATACATATCCAGACACCGGAGGTCATATGATACCATGAAAGACTAAAGGCTGGTTTTTTATTTTTATTTTCCATGCTTGGGGAACATGGTACATTTTGGGCGTTTGGGACAGAAGTTCTCTGTTTTTACAGGGTCAAGTACTTTATTCAGTCCTGACCCAGGAAGGTGAAGATAACGGTAGCTTCGTGAGTGAAAACTAAATAAGAATTGAGTGCTAGGTTGTGTGGCTCACACTCAGCTCTGAGCTCTTTCTGCTCATTTTGGGGATCAGCTGCAATTGCAACAGGTCCTTTCAGAGGCGGCAGGGGACTCCTTGATTGTTCCACCCACCCCTCTGTACACACGCATAAGGGCTAAGCCCAAACTAACCTGGAGTATTTGGTCCACAGAGAGAAATGATACAGAACTGAGTGAAGCAGTGCAAATTACCCCCCGACTGCCAACTGTCACAGCCTTGACTTGGAAGGACCAGCACTGCGGGTGAGAAAATAATTCTCTACCCAAATCAACCCTTGGCCAATACTCAAAATAATTAGTGACAACTCCGATGGCATTTGCTATGTGGATCCCGGATTGTTTACTAGAATAGCTAAGAGTGAATATATTTAGCTGCAGAGCATGAGGGATGTTAATGGCTTAATTTTAAAGTGAAAGCTGTTTTTACTAAAGGTTTACTATAGCAACACCTGCAACATGCATTTTTTTATTCAGCAACAATAGAGTCCTCTTAACTCTTATTTAGGGCTTTCACAACTCCATTATAAAAACGATGCTTTAGGCTCAAACATATTAATTGTTTCTTCTCATTTACTCATTTACCCAACTCCCCAAAGCATTTTAGCTGCAATTCAAACACACAGAAAACATACACCGGCTGAGATTTTCCAGGAGGGGGAGGGATGAATTTAATAATTAATAGGAGAGACGCGAAGCTCAATCCCCTCTGCTGCTTTGAACCTCCTCAGCTACAGTCCCTGCCCTGAAGAGTTTACAGTTTTAGCATTCATACAGCACTGTCCATGGTCAAAGCACAGAACAAACATGCACTAATCCTCCCATGCAGTAGATAATTATTAATATGCCCATTTTACAGATGAGGGATAAATGCCCGAGATATTAAATGATTTGCCAAAGCACACAGAGCAATTCAGTGTCTAAATCCAGATTAGGATTTGGGACTGACTGATTCCTAATCCCACTGTTATTCTAACAGACCAATCCCCTTCTCATGGTGCAGCAAAATAGAGGAATCCAAGAAATTTGGCATCAGTGATCCAGAGAGCTTAAAAACATTGGCTATTTTTAAGTTATAAGGTATACAAGAAAATATGTTCCTTCCCTCTGCTAACTGCCAAAACACTACTGGCTTCTAATGCTCCTTTTGTTCCAATTATTAAAATCAGATTCGTTTTTTTAAAACAACATGTGTCAGGTTGACTGTTCATAATGTAAACTGAGCACTCATCTGCAGTCCAATAAGGCTCCCTTTAAAGTCAGTGGTTAAACTCGCCTTCATTTCAGTTAATCAAATCAAGTCCTTATAAACAGCCTACTGCACATATGCAGAAGCCTGTCATCTTAGCATTGTCCAATGTGCATACGAGTTCACCAAATTCACTGTTGGAATAAGTAACTTGCAACTCCATTGGCTTCAATGCAGCTGCCGTCCCTTACACCAGTTATCTGCCATTATATCTGTACTCCCATCAGTAATACTCATAAGACAGGTATACGTACACCTCCAAAGTGCAAAGAAATTGATATAGGTTGCAAAATCCTGTGTTAAATAATTTGTGAAGCATCGTTTGCGTGAAATGTCCACTTTTTGAGAAAGAGACTAACTTGACATAGAAGGCAAATGACATGTTAAAAACTGTGGGCCAGATCCACAACTGGTGTAAAATGTTATAGCTCCATTGAGATAAGTGGAGTGATGACAATTTCCCCGAGCTGAGAATCTGGCCCTGTATAGTTTTGACAGCACAGACTTCACTGGCCATTACAGTGCGGCAGTCAAATCAAGCCAGCTCATCATAAACCCACTTATGATCATATGTTTCAGAAGCATTTCTAAAATTGTTAAAATAATAGAAATGAGCAAATCCTGCAAAAATATTATGGCAAATATTGGAGTAAAATTTCTAACTGAATTTGCTTCAGTTATGTTCGTGCCTTTCTGGCATGTGATCTCTGCAAGTTTGCTGTCAGAACTGTTTATGGACACAGCAAATGTTAAGTGAATATTGGAAAATATATGTGGAATGCAAATTTTGAACTTCTTAAAAATCAGATTCTAAGAGTTATGTTCATCCAACTGGGGAAAAGAGACAATGCTATGTGACCTATATGTTCAGTCAAAACTAATCAACATGGGTCTGATTTTGAATCTCAAAATGTTTATGATGAGCTGCTCATGAACAATCTATAGAATTATTTGCCATTTGGAAGCAGAATGTTTGTTTAATGGAATACCTCACTACGAGCATATGACACCAGCACTCCAAAATCTACACTGACTACCTATTGGCTTCTAGGTGGAGTTTCAGGGGCTGGTTCTGACTATGAAACCCTGCGTGACAGAGGACCTTACTATCTGAGGGACCACCTTTTCCCCGTACTATATTGCTGCAGCTAAAATCAATGGAGGCACTCAAACTGGAGCCCCTCCTATATAATAAAAGGAGCTGAGGACAGCACATTTTCTGCAAGGGCCCCTTGACTTTGAAATTAATTTCTTACTCAGTTATTATTTTACTTTATTTGTATTATGGCAGGGCTGGAAGCCACAACTGAGATCAGGGTCCCACCATATGTACATGTAGTAAGAGATAGTCTTTGTCCTGAAGAGCTTACATTATAAATAGAGAGTGAGAGAAAGAATATTATCCCCATTTTACAGATGGGGAACTGAGGCACAGAGAGACTAGGTGGCTTGACTAAAGTCACACAGAAAGGCTATAGCAGAGCGAGGAATTGAACTGAGTCCCAAGCCAGGAGCCTTAACCGCAAGACCATCCTTCTTCTCTTCATCTGAAATAATGTGAATGTATTGATATTTGAGGGACACTAATCTCTGCTGGAGTTGGCATTTAGAAAAGGCTGAAGCAGCTTAGAGAGAGTTTAGGGAGGAAAATGATGGGTGGGTTACGTTGGTCTAGAGTGGGAAGGACAGCAGGCCAAAACACGCCACTATTTTGCTTTGGTCATGATATCAATTTTGCATTTTTAAAATTAATAAGGGTATCTAAAGCCTAGAATTGGAGTTCTGTCATGCTGTTGTATTTAAATCCAAACAAATTCATAAATAAATAAAATAAACAATTCTGAATAATGAATAAATAAAAAAAGGGTAAGCGGCTCCCAAACAACTTATGAGCAGAAAATGAGGCAAAATTCATTCAGTACATCATTCACTGTGAACACTTGATTCTACTAAATACTACAGCAGAGTGAAATGAATTAGAAATACAAAAAAGCCCAAGAGATCATCAAATCCATGCCCAAGTAGCAATGCAGGATTTTTTCCAATTCTTAGAGAGAGAGAGAGAGAGAGAGATTTTACATGAAAATATCTTTATGTATCCTTAAAAATGGTAATAGTCTATTGTAAAAACTCCATAATTTCTATTACAGTTTATTCTGTCTTCTTTCCTCATTTATATGAATGCACTAAAGAGAAAGATTAAACCACATTGAACTGAATTCATTATTATCTCAGAATCCTGACTCAGTCCTACAAAAGGACAAACATTTAGAGATAATGCATAAAACTCTATCAATAACCTACTACAATGCATGTAAGTATCTTAGGCATGAGAACCTAAAAAGAACAGAATACTGGATAGGTCTTTAACTGATGATCTAATATATTCAATTTAAGAATAGATAATCTGATTTTGATCTCCTGTGTACTAGTGTAAGTCAAGAGTAACTTCATGTAAGCCAATGGAGTGAGAGTGACATAAAAGTGATGTAAGTGTGGTAAGTATCAGATCTAGCTTTTCAGTCTTAACTCTGCACTGCCTGGTTTTTACACAATGTGTTTAACATGACTCTTTAATATTAGCTCAACAACAGTTCTGGGAGTCTTGCTTGGAAATAGGGTTGCCAACATTGTATTTAAAAACTACAGGACAGTGCTCAGATGTACCCAATCTTGACTTGAACCTCTGGGGGTAAGTCCCTTCTCCCCCCGACCCCATGCTTCCTAGGGTTTCTCTATCTCCAGCTCTGGATGCTGCAGAGAACCCAGGGCCTCAGGTGCTGGGCCAGCAGCCTCTACGACTCTTGTTCAGGTTCTGCAGGGGCACCAGGAGCCGAGTTGGAGGCTGCAGTTGCTGGTCTTTGCCTGCTGCGGTGCTGCGCCCCCTGTGGGGGACATTGGCAGACACTCTGTGAGCAGTGAGGCTACACCCCTGCCACACAGCGCCCCTTCCTGACCCTGGCACTTCAGTACAGCTCCCAGGCACACAGCCCCATCCATTTACCCTGCCAGACAGAGCCTGTGCTGGGAAAGCAGACTGGGCTGCCCTCAAGGGCTGGACTCAGCAGGGGGTCCTGTCCAGTAGTGGGCTAGTACTCACGGGGGTGCAGCTTTCCACTCCCCTCCTGACCCTGGCACCTGTGGGTCCATCTGCTTTCCCTGTGCACCTGTGAGTACTGCCCCCCTGCTGTTGAAATATGGGATAAAAGGCATCCCATACTGAT